TTAATAACTAAAATTATTACTATTGATAAATAATAGAAATGGGAAATTTATGTTAAAATTTGCAAAGATACTTAAGTAAATGATGCAATTAGCTTCTTTTTGCTTTTTAAATTTTCCTCAAAAATTTACCTGTTCCATTTCTTCGATAGATTTCGTAAAACCTTGTGACAAATTCCAATTTTCCTCTTTCTCTGCTTTTTCCTCCTCATGAATTTTTGATGTTGAATAAAAGGCTGTTGTTGTGAACATTAATTGATTGGATAAATTGTCATCCTCAATTGTATGGATTGTTTTAGAAGTTGAAATTGATTGTTCGTCGGTTTCCGTTTCATCCGGTGTAGATGAATCAATTTGTGTTGTACTACTACTGTCTCCATCAATAATTGCCATTGTTGTTGGTACCGAAGTAGATGATATAGCAGTTGCAAATCTGGATAATGTGGATAATTGGATAACTGATCTATTATCATTGTTGATTATCATTTCAGGAGATGATGCAGTGGCAAGAAATTCCATAACTGATGACGAACGTGAAGATTCAACGGTTACATTCTCATTCTTAAGCTTATCTGATATATCCACGAAAATTCTTCCGGTTGGATTCAGGATTAAATCATCTATTGATTCAGTAGAATTAACAGAATCCCGAGATTTGGGATTTCCTGACAGCGTAGCCGTTGCTATTGTTGCTGTTTCTGAAGTCATGTTAAAATGATGATGAAGCGGTAAAGAAGACTCTGAAGTGACAAACAGTGGTGATACTGTTGGCAAGATTGGAATATGAGTTGTGGTATCGAATGGAGATGAATCTGATGGTTCTGGAACCGTAGCTAGCAACTTTGGAAGTAATTCCACGGGTCTGCAAATTAAATTTTTATAAATTTCAAAAACTAAATAATTTCACGTCAATAACTGACGAGATATTTTACTGCAGAGGTATTGCTGAATAACAATTGAAAAATTAATAATGATAATGAATCTATATTATTGACAAATTTAACCTGTTTAAGGCAGACGAAAACGTTTCTATTCCGAATTTATCAGATGGATGAAAATCTTGATTGGGCTTGATCAAAGAAGATGCTGCTGTCGTTGTGATATTTGTAATAGATGGTGATAGGAATGAATTTGGAAATAGATTTGATAAATGTGGATGATTCTGAAATAGTGAAGCGATGTGCTGAGTGAATTGAGATTGTTCCAGTGTTTCCGATTGTAATGTTGAAGTTAGCGCATCAGGATTTGGTGTGATTATTGTAGTTGCTGCAGCAGTTGGCGCAGTAGAAAAATGAATTTTTTTTGGTAAGTCTTTACAATCAATCCATTCTGCAAAAGTTAAAATTTATTAAACTCAATAATAAATGGAATTGACATAAAGTAAAATGTGAATGTTATTGACATATTAAAAAAAGAAAAAGAAAATCAATCAATAATGCTATTGTTCAGCATTGCGCGTTTTTTTTTTTTTTTTTATTATTTTACATAACATTTCTCCTTTATCTCTTTGACTAATCTTTATCAAAATAAGTATTTAGCAAAAGCAAACCGGATCTTTCATTCAAGCAAAGACATTTGTACGTAGCGTTGACTGGAATTGGAGAAATTAGTGCAAAATTATCAGAATCCAATTGACAACGTGCATCACTATCATGTTCAATGCATGCTTCATTACTAAAATCATTAATTACTTCATCTAATATTTACCAATTCTTCTTTCCTGATTGAGGAAACTAAATCGATCCTGATAAATGACTTTTAAAAAGTTTAAAAAGTTTTTCTTCTCTTTCTTTTTACTATTCAATCTATTCATTCCTCTTTTTTGGCTTATTGATTTTCCGCTAATTTTTTTTTTATTTCCTTATTCATTTTCCTTTTTCTTTCTTCCATCTTTTTTTTTCTCTTTTTCAAAAAAAATACCACAGAAGAAGATAAAAAGTAGGAGAGAAAAAATAAAAAGGTTTACTTCAATTTCACTCATCAACCAAAATTCATTTCACATTGGTCTTTCCCATTTTATTTATCATTCCGCTTTGAAATATTATTTCAAATTTTAAATTCCAAAAAAAAAAAAAAAAAGAACAAACTTGTTACTACATGTGTCGATAATATTGCAATTAATACCAAATGTGCCTGTCGGACATCGACATACCGGCACATTTCCAGTTAGCTCACAAATACCACCTTGTTCACATCTTGGATTACAAATAAGCTATAAATAAGAGAATGTATGAAATTCGATAATACATTAGTCAAATCACTGCATATACATATACTTTATAAAATACGCATATACCTATACTTTATTAATCTTCATGGATTAAAGAAAAAAGATAGTATATTTTTGAATAATTTTAAAATTTATCTCAAAGTGTAAAAAATGACTTATTTATCTTACAATATAACTTATTTAACTATAGCTTATTTATTTTACAATCATTCATAAATAAATAATAATCAAAGATATTAAAAGGGGAAAAAATTAACTTGTAAATTTTTTAATAAAACTTAAACAATGCACTATATCAATTTCACCATGATAAATTCATAATTAATTAATAAATAAGAATTTAATTTTGAACCTGTTCACAGAATGTCCCGGTAGTACCTGGTCGACAATGACAACGTGGTACATTACCATTAGCTTGACAAATACCGCCATGCATACATTCGACATTAGCGCATAAATTTATTTCACATTGTGATCCAAGAAATCCTTCGTGACACATGCAAACAGCCTGTAAAATTGAAATTTTATGGATAAGAAAAAAATTGCATATTATGGATAAAAAACAAATATAAAAATCATTGCCAATTTATCTTATAAATGTTAATCTGCAAAATTTTCACTCCTATAATTTTTTTTAATATATCCATCATTATATTATCACCGAAAAATAAACTGATAATAGTAAAAAGTTATCAATTTTAAACATCTTTTATTACAGTAAAATCTAAAATAGAATAACTGAAAATTAAAATTTACTCTTCCATCATTTCCAGCGATACAAGTACCATTATTTTGGCACTGTATACCTGTACAAGCATGTCCATTGATACCAGCCATATCTGATGCTACTGCTGCTGCTGCTGCTGCTGATGGTGATAATGATAATGATAACGATGATAAGTGTTCATAGGTTGCTGTTGATGCAAGCGATTCTTGTATAATAGATGGTGCTAACTCATTATTTTGTTGAATATCAACTGGTGAATTTACGAATTTTTCTCTTGTTATCGGTATTTTAGTACTATCAATGATAGCAGTAGTAATATTAATTCCCGGTATTATTTCAGTAACAGTTTTGATAAGGTTTAAATTGCTAGTATTCTTTGGTATACCAAGTGAAAGATTACGAGAAATCGATAAATTTCCATCTGATGAGGTAATTCTTGGATTGACAAAATGAAACGGTGCAACATCACTTCGCGTATGAGCTAAAATGTAAAACTGATTTGAAAATTGATAAGATCAAATTTTCTTCTCAGTCATTTATTTTCTCTTTTGTCTAACGAATAGTCTAAAATTTATTTTCTATTTATTCAATTCTATATTGTTCGAATTTTTTTACCTCTTCTTTCTTCTTTCCTTTTTTTTTATTTTTCACAAATTTGTAAATATAGGTCAACAGAGTTAAAATGATTGATTAGATTGCAGTTCAAAAAATAAATTGATACAGCACTGATTAGAAATAATATGAGCAATGAGCTGCAGTCTATAGAACTATTAAAATTGGTTAAGGAACATTTTCAAAGCAAGAATTGCAATTAACCAAATTATATACATTTAAGTCCTATTTAAAGTTTAGTGAACTTGAAAAAATGAATTTAAAAAATTACATTTTAAATTCAATCTATCAAAATTGCAACGACGAAAAAAACGGTTCAATGCTATCAATAGATGGTTATTTGAATTCTTTTAAAACAAATAAATAAATAAAACAAGCAATTAAATTTAAATTCGAAACAATAATTACTCACCAAAATTGCTATCAGTTGTAGATATTGGACAATTACATTCCAATGACATTGCTTGGAATAAATTACGTTGCAACTTTGGTGGACAACCTTGTAATTTTTCATTTTGTACAATCATATCACGGAAACATCTCGGTCCTTGTTCTATAAATTAGCATAAAATTTCAAAAATTTTCAAAAAAAAAATTTGAAAAATTTCAAAAAATATATATCTTCTCATTGTTATTTTTGCATTTAGAAAAATCTTCATAATACTTCTAAAGAAATGAAACAAAACAGAATTAATAAAATTTCCAAAAAATCATTACAGCTATGCACTACAAAAACGCATAAACTGCTTAATAACTTTTTTTTTT